TACTAGCAGCTAGAGAAGCTACTAGTAACAAGGGCAACTAGCAGCTAGAAGCTACTAGTAACAAGGGCATCGCTACTAGTAACAAGTTCGAGAGAAACACCTTCGGACAAAGAGAGAGATTGATGTACACTCCCTCTAAACTCGTGGCACAAAACATCCTTGCTTGCATGGTTGCCTGTAAGTTGAACTTCGATTATCTTCGATTTCCACCCCAACAATTTTTCATGCACAACTTGTGTTCTCTTTTGCTGTCTTCTTCCAAGTCATCCAGAACTCCAAGCTTAGACCTGGTTTCAACCACTTTGCTGTTACACCTGAAGCCTCTTGAAATTGCCGTGAAGCCCGACCTCTGCGACTGTTAAACAGCAAATGTTTGTGCGCGCTATCTCACGCGATCAGCATCAGAAACAACCAATTTATATGTGTCTATATATATACATATACAGTGCAAAAAAGTGAACAGCAAAGCACTTTTCGGCGTCCTCGTGTTGTCTCAAACATCTCAAGCCCTGGCCTTTGAAGGGGTACTGCTCGCTGCCAAGGAAGATCAAATGTTCCAAAGTGTGTGGGCATCCGAAATCGTCAAAGGCTTCCTGAGTTGTCTAGGAGAGCTGATCTTGCTGCATAGCTGCGCCCCAAAATACACGTCATAACGCTTCCTATATCCTCCATCCTCATATCATCTCGTATCCCTATCCCTATCCTATCTTGAACCCCTTTGCCTTGCATAGCAGCTTTCCGGGTCACCAGTCTTTTGCGACGGTGCTCTCTCCAAACTGCCCGCAATGATCAAACACACGTGAGAATCCAATGATGCCAAGAAGCCGTTTGCACCGTAAAGTAACCATGCACGGTCGGCGACTTGACCTACAGGATGAATATGCAAATGGATCGGTCTCCCAGTTTTAAGCTGACTTCGACAAATCATAAGAATTTGGGATGTTTCGCTTGATTCTTGCCTCTTTCCAAATGCAGGACTCCCACTCCGTCATTCACATGGCAACAATGACTCCTCTGTTAGAGAGAACTGCTTTTTGAATAATGAGTTCATAGCCAGCTTTATGCTTAAAGAACTGGTTTGAGAACTGCTCTGCACTGAGAACGGGTTCTCAAACCTTTTGGGACCTAGGGATCCGCCCCCGCCTGCGCGGCCGCCACTCGCAATCCAGTCTCAGTGCATCGATAGAGAGCCACAGGAACCTGAGGAGCCACATGGATCACGGTCTCGTCATCGGATGGAGCGTCACATGTTGAATGGAATGTGGAGAATTCACCAGATTTCCAGAAGCTGGAACAGAAATGAGAAGACACCTCCTAATTATAGGTGAAACATAGTGAAACCTTCCCAACAACCAGGTGGGGACCTTCGACGGCGACTCTGAAGCCGCCACATACTGCCTGCCTCCCTTCGGTTCCACATACCGCCCATCCGGCCCCTGGCCTCCTCATAAACGAACTCGAACTGATGCTGGAAGGTGTCGACCTCAGCGCCAGCAAAGGAACACACCGAGCACACGGAAGCGTCCTGCAGGTTTTTTCAACTCAGCTCGGCTGCCCGGACGGTCTCTGGCGCGGCCATGGCTGGTTTTTGTGTAGCCGAGCCCAGTTTTGGGAAGGGGGTCGAAAACCAAGGGGGTCACGGTTCCAACATGTTCCAATGTCCATTCAAGATGAACATGCTCGCAAATTAAACATGATTGAACCATGGAAGGCCTCCTTTATCTTTGAGAATAGCTTGAACGGGCTTGTGTAGCGATCCCAACAGGGGTGCAATGTCTCCAATGGGTGGCTCTGGCCGTTGAAAAGGAGTTTCGAATCGTTGTGCCTTACTTTTTGGCATGGTGCCACATGCAAGGAAACATTCAACGACCTCTGAAAAATTATCTGTTCAAAGTGATGCCAAGGTGTAAATTCATGTTTTTCAGCGTGTCGTGTTTTGACTTCCTCGATTGGTGCTTCTGCTTGTGGGGCCTAGCCAGGTGGAGCCATGGATGCATCAAGCCGGTCATATTTTTCATGGATCTTGATGCGGCCGGGTGGGCTTGAGACCTCACGTGCGAAAATAAAACGTGACACTTGCCTCAACATATATATATATATTATATGTGTGTCAGCGTCAAAATTACTTGTTCAAGTTGTATTCGTTTTGAATTAGTGGGCCCCCTATCGTTTTCCATGTCTGTGGTTTCTTTAGGTGCATGTGGGCTTCCCTATCGTTCTTCATGCCGTGGCTCAATACCAGAACAAATCTCAAAGAACACATACAAACACTCACACACACACACACCATGACATGTCTCCAGCTCGTGTGTGTGTTGTTTGATGCCAGAAGCCTGGTTTTCCCTGGCTACATTCCAAGTAGAGTGGTGGTTGGAGCCTGGCCACCATCCCTTCCATCCTAGACCGCTTGCCCAACACAAATACCTCGAGTGCAGGCACCGACCAAGGGCGACTTCCACTTCTCCAATGCCATCCAATACCCCTTCACCACCCAACCGCATTCCTTTTCTACTTCGAATCTGAAGTGTCGGAGGTTGAGGTTGCAAACAAAGAGTCTGAACTGGCAACAGCAGCTTGCTTCAATTCTTTCCGTGCTTTTGAACGCTCCCTTTGTTTTTCGCTCCTTCTCTTTCTTTTGCCAATGAGACATTGGTGATCTGGTTGGCCTGTGAACCGCTGGTCTGTTCCACCAGGTAGCAAGTTGCTCTGGGCGGATTGTCTCCTGGTGAGCGCGGCTTCATCGCTGATACCCAGTGGCTCTATGTCATGGTCCCATCGCTTTCGGCATGCTTCAGAGAAATACCCTCGTCTGTATTCAGTCGCTGTGTCTTTGCTTGGAGGCAATCATGTTTTCTGCGGGGAAGCTTTGCTTGACCCGGAACAGCCGCCTGAGCTCTTCCAACCAACTTCGCTGAGGCTGAGACTCATCTGCCAGCATCTCCTTCACAAGTAGTCTTAGCGCAGCAATCACGACAGCAGATTTTTTCATGGCTGCGAAGGTAGCTCTGGCAAAGGCCACGTGGGCGATATCTCAACAAGGGTATCTGTTGGGACTTCTTGGGTATCGTTCGGGTATCGTTTTTTGCCACACTTTCTGGCTGAAAATGGCATTCTTGTCGGAGGTCTTGTGTTGAGCAGCTTAACATATTCAGCTAAGTTCACGCTCAAGCTCACAGCCACTTCAACTCGCACAATGCGTGGCGATGCAAAAGCAGCCAATTTGTTCTAGTTCCGAGCGGGGCCAATCAGGGAATAAGCGCGGACGTGGGAATCGCTCTGTAATGCTCTGTAGATCAAAATGAGTTGAAGGATTGGCCACCGGCTGCGACTTATAATGTGCCCCAGTGCACCACGTAGGCAGGTACGTTTACCTGATCATCCAGTGTGGAGCTTCGTTGGCAGAGACCGCATCTGGAGATGTATTGTAAGTGAAAATCTTGCCTCATTCTTCTAAGGCATTGGCCCCGCAAGACCAATCAATGGAATGCCTAGGAGGTGGCATTGCAGGAGGCATCTTTCTTTTAAAGTCCCCCATCGATTTTCAATGAAACTTCACATTCCCTTAGCCACATGAAACGCTCTTTACTAAAGTAGTCTTCGATAATTTTGAGGTTGACTCATATACGCACACATCAGCACACCAGAAAAAGAAAAAACAAATGCAAGCGTATGCAAGTGAACCGTTCGAACGTTCCCATTTATCACCACTTCTGCTAGTACAAGAATGCCCTTTTAACAGCCTTCGCCCAAACTAGCTGTAAACCTTCCTCAATCCTTCTCAAGAAAGGTGACTGTACAATTGGCAAGCAGCTCAAGTCTGTACACTGAACAGCAGCACTAGGATCTGGAAGGCAGCAAAAGCCTTCCCGTGCAAAAAGCTGCAGCAGGCTGCCAAACAAAGAGGAATCCATCTTCCACAGGATTTTCTTATACAACCTCCTGGAAGTAACCTGTCATACGAGATTGGTCTTCACCAAGAATTGGGCTTTGTCTTCTTCTCTTGAAACCCTGGAAGTCTGGAGCCAAAAACTGCCTGTCTTCCACCTCTTGCCTCAGAACGCCTAGGAACGGGGCCCACGGCCACGGTGGTAACGCTTCCGCTGAGACCGCAGGGCACACCGTCGCAGCCATTGGCCAATTGCTGGCTCTTCCATGGGCTCCACGTCAATAGATACAAAGAAGTCCTGCAAGAGAGGCCAAGCGCTGGACCCAAGATCTCTTGAAACCATTTGCAACCAAGCCCTGTGACATCATACATCTGTCTCGGACTGACTGAAGAATCGTGAAAGAAGTGGGTGTGAGATTGAGTGCTCTTGGAAGAGCATCCTGACAAACACCCTCTCAATGCCATTTACTCAAAATGAAGCTGCACTGGCGAAAGCCTTCAACCAACCACGCCATTGTTCTTCTGTCAAGCATGGTCAAGCCATGTCGTGCCTCCGTACCATTGATGAACTGATGTAAAACACACACTCTCTCCCTCCCCCTTTTATACAAACAACCATAGCGGTATCGGGCTTTGATCGAATATATATATATATATGTATATATATATCAACTCAACCTTCACTCGGTGGTTCGTGGATATTGGAGCATATATTTTTCTTTTTGCCTGTCCTGCCATGTGTGGATGTCGTGGAATCTTCGGCAAGCTTGCTGCAAGGCGCTGACGGTGGATTGCCTGTGCTGCCATGGGCCAAGGCTTGAGCTTGACCCAATTTCTCTTCATTCAGGACCCTCATGATCATGGACATGTCAACACACACATTTCCATCGTTTCCATATACCTTGTCAAAGCTTTATGCCTACTTGGTTCTGACATGTTCTGACCTTACTTCAAAAGTACGGCAGGGCTTGACCATCAGCTGGATAAACTAACGATGCTGTCGATGCAGGCTAAGATGCAAAGGCAAACCTTTGGTGCGCTCGTAGCGTTCAAGCAAACAGCTTGCTCGTCGACACATGCCCTCTCCATGCTCGTGCTTGATGTGAGCGATGTGATGAAGAAACCACGCATGGAACATCAAGAGTTCACGTGATACTCTACCTTGACTCCAGACCAACTCCCACAAAAACGCACAACACACACAAAGTAACTATGAACTTGGCTTGTTCTAGAAGGTCTCCTGAATTCAATTTACAGTACGAGTATATAGGTTTTTGAGTTGGCCAACCCTTGTGCAAGTCCAAGCTCAGTTGCCAGTCTCCCAAGTCTTCTCCATTCTTTCCTCCACGGGTGCATGATAGTCCGCCAGGAGAGGATACGCTTTGACCAGCCAAAGAACCCCACGGTCGAAAGTCTCTTCCAAGATGGGAACCGCGAGCTCATCCCAAGTAAGCTCATCGGAGACTGAGAGCAAACACATGAACTCCCCCAAATTTGGTACCTTTTCTTTGTGTCTCATGCCTTCATCTTCGCGGAAGACCCTCAACTTCTTCTCAATGTCATCGCTCAAAGAGGTATAGCCTTACTGAAGTCGTAGCTTTCACTGGTCAGGTGCAACTCCAAACTGAACAAGTCTACGGTCACGGCAAACAGCTGGCATGCACAACTTCTCTGCTTTAACAACAGCACACATCTAGGTTCCCACAACAAAAGTACAACATCTTAAAGGACAGGCGCTTCTCTTGAGCAACAGCAAGGTGTGGTGGAAGGCCATGTACCCAGCAAGGGCCTTCTCCGAGGTATGCACATCACCTTTCCTTCGCTGGGCATGGTTGGATTTGTGCTTGAAAACAGCAGAAGCTTCACTTGAACATAGCCATACCAAACGCCCCTGGCTCCAAAAACATAATCTTCCGCCCTCGTTTGGAAGGGGTGAAAACGACACTCCAACACTCTTTCATCTCAGGCAGAATGGTAGGCGATCCCCCCAGTTTGTTCTTACTCGATCAAACACTCTGTTTTCTTCACATTTGTACTTATTTATCGCCGACCCTTTCATCCCAGTTGAACTCACGATCCGACAACTTTACGCCCCCACCATCTGATGTAGAACTGAGCTGCATGAGCAACACGATCTGTGAGTTCATGAGCTTGGGCAAAACCTCCATCGCAGCCACCTGATCCAAGGGCAGGACGTCCTGCAAGGGTTCTGCCTCAGCCTTCAGGAGCGCTGCTTTGACTTTGGCTGCTGCCGCCTTGGCCCTCTCAGCCTTGACTCTTGCCTCTCTTTTCTGCCACTCTTCCAAAGTCAAGCCCTGTCGTGCACGAGCTTCTCCTTGGAGCAGGCACGTTTCGCATCGCATTCGACAAACACAGCAGAGGTGGTCGGCAAACGGTTTTGATACTGTTCCGGGGCCCTGCGGAAGTTCATGGGAATTGGAAGATGGCCCAAGGCCAAGGCACGTTGCTGCTTCTGTCTCTCAAACAGTGCGGCTCTTTGCTCCTGCCACTCCTGGAAGGTCATTGTGGTAGGCTGGTCCTGGAATTTTGGAGTCAAAAGCGGCAAAAAGCAGACCAGGGACCAAACAACTTTTCCCATATTTCCTTCACTTCACATCACATGATCGCACATCCCTCAAGATCAAGCTGCAGGAGAAAGGCTACACTCCTCTAAAGAGGTCATATTCATCCCAACCATGAGGTAAAATGGGCCTCCGGTCAGTTCATGGATCTCCGTCCCACTTCTCTAAGGGGGTCATAGTCATCCCAACATATCCCAACCCAACCATGACGAGGTCGATTAGGTCAGTTCATCGGTTCTGGGACCTCCGATCTCCGATCCTTGGGACAGCTCGGAGCCCCACTGAAAGACTGTCGCCCACTGGATCCCAAGCCATGGGACTTGGTCATTTCGGCCACCTGACGCAGGGTGGATGCAGGAGACTCGGTTCACATCTTCACACCAGATGTGTCGAACATATCATGCTGCGTCAGCCACTTGCTTTGCCATGTTACTCTTCCCGAGAAGGTGTCTAGGGTTACCCCCATGTTTCTCCACAAATCTCCTAAGCCAATAGGTCGGCTACAGGAAAAAACAAAAATGTGTAAAATGCCAAGCTAGCGGAGTTTCAAGCCCAATGTGCTCCATCTCAGTTTCACTGCTCCTTCCGAGCTGGTGTTTGTTCGCTCGCTCGCCTTGCCAGTACCCAGTTGAGAGACGGCAGCCAGGAGCCTCTCCAAAGCGCGCTCGAAGTGACTCTTGCAAATCGCCATGGGGATCCTAGGTGTGTTGCCCCGGAAACCGGGTCTGAAATGTTCACCAGCACCCGGCATGGTGGACAAGCTTGGTCTCAAAATGAACTGCGAGCGTTTGTGATACCGTGATGATACCGTGTTCTGCCCGTTTTCTGGACAGATCTGAATCTCGTTGCTGATGTGGAACCAGCAACCCAACTAGAAGAGAAACAACATGACTTTCCTCATTCTGATGCCGAGCAACCAATAGCTGATGGTCTGCTTCCATACTCCTTTGTCCACATGCAAATCCTGATCTGGCAAGCAGGAATGCCACAGTGCAGGGGTTCAAGCATTGTTGCCACCTTATCCACATGATATACTACTTAAATCAAACAACTCGACAGAATCGAGGGTGTCACTCGATGCTTCATGATTTTTCATCCTCCGCGGTGATGGATGACCATGGGCACGACTTCTTTTCAGCACTTAGAGGAGCAAAAGCTGAACATGCACTGCTGTCAGGGCTCGAAGAAGGCCTCTTCGGACAAGGGGTCAAAGTCACCTGAGGTGAAGAGCGGTCAACCCCCAACCACTGCGAAGCACTGCCACAACGTGGCAGAACATCGGACGAACGCTGAGACTGCTGGCCGCCTCCGCGCCCAACTGGGCCCAGTCACAAGTGAGGTGCCGCTTGCCGGTGGATTCCTCGGTGATGGCCACACCGAGGCCTAGTAGTGTGTCAGCTTCGTAGAAGGCTGCCTTCGTGTGGAAGCACCGCAGCTGAGTCCTTCGATCCCGTCACCCTGGTGGGTTCGGTTCGGAACCGGTTCGGATGGCCGGTTCCGCGGGGCAAAGGACGCTTCAAATTCAGCACCCAAATCATCATACTCCATCCTTTCAATTCAAGCAATTCCGGCAATGCCAAATAACTACTTGGTCAGCCAAGGCTCAAGTCGAAGTAGATGGAGATTGCCTCCTCCGCTGGCTGCCTCCATCCTCGGCTCACCCGCGCCAAGGACTTCAAGGTTCCCAGGGGCAGCATCTGCAGGAGGAGCTCCGAGGCAGGGCCTGGCAGGTCCTGGTACCTGAGAAGAAAAGGCACGCTTGCTCATGGATCTCAAGCGCACCTGGTCTGGGCCGAAAACACGCAGCGAACACTCTGTCGACTCGGCCATCGGCCATCGGCCCGCCAAGACACAAGCGAGGTGGCAGCAACGGCATACACGGACCTAAGGCTCGGTGGACACGCGGAAAGGGTCCACTCCGGGCAGTGAGCCGCAAGCCTTTTGGAGAGTCCACCTCCAAAATGCGAACCAACACCTTAGTGAAAGGAGACGGATGAACCTGCCGAAAAGCAAATGCATGAACTACAGGCTGCCTTGTGGACCAAATGATGCGAATTCTGCGTTTGATCTTTTGGTAGCGAAAACGCCAACAAACGCGATGTTTCTTAGTACGTATATAGTTCCACGATGTTCTGCGGGTATGAACGCAAAATGGCCAACTGGGCCGCACTTGCAATTTGGGCAACTGCATGATCCTGAAACCCCACAATTGCATACAAAACATGACCACTGAAACATCGCAGTTGGAGCGCCAAACTCTTGACTTGAAAGGCATCCATGTCCACATCCATCTCGGAGACGTGAACAAGTCCAGGTGCTGGGCCACCGATGTCCACGAACATGCCATAGCTCTTGATGGAAACAATCACGCCAGTGACAGGGGTCGCCTTTGTCAACGTGAACACTTGGGTTTGGGGTGAGGGCACAAGCAAAAGAAGTAGCTGGGACAAGGTAGAGCTTTGAGGGGGCAATGTGGGGCATGGGTGTGGGCCATGTTCTTTGGGGTGGCGTTAGGAAAGGCACACCAACTTAGCCAGGTCACAGCAGCCATGTGCTCTGTCAGCTCAACATGCGAGCGCCTTGGGACCAGCTCCAAGCACAGCCACCTCTCGTCCACAGAGGTGACGTAAGCCGAGATCTCCTCACAAAGTTGTTGTCCAGCAGCAGCAGCAGCAGCAGCAGCACTGTACCTCCTTACTGTAGGCGCCCCAAAAACGGCTTGAAACAAATGACATCAAATGACGCATAAGAACCATTGAGAACCTATGGCTGTGATGGTCACTGCCTGCTGCTGCGCCAGGACGAACCCACGCCGGCTCAGCCAGCCCCTGCGGCCGCGTGGGTTGGCCAACTCGAGGATGAAGCCTTTGGCACAGTCTTTCACCGCTACGCCTGAGACCAAGTCACCAACCTCAGACATCTCAAGTTAACCCGCCAAGCTGATCAATTGAAACGTTTTGAAACAATCCAATCCTCTCCGTTTTGGTCAAAGCTGACATGCGCACCAAATGCGTCACAGTGGCCACGGGGTCCTTCTCGGAGGTTGTCGAGAGCGGGCCAGCAAGCGGCATGGATGGCCCAGCTACTCCAGCGACTTCTGGACGCGTGCAGCTCTCATCTCTGCAGCCTGAGTAAAGGTGTGAAACCCACAGCCTGTGGCTCATGCGCTCATGCCTGGTCATCTCCTCTTGAGGATCTTAGTTCCACCCCTTTTTGCTTCCAACTTCTCACCCTGCAGACTACGATCTTTCAGCACCCCAAACTTCAAGCAACACATGCCTACGCTTTTTGCCGCTCTCTCCGCGTGCGAGAGCGAAGAACTGTCCGCGCTGGACGCGAATCGTGTCGTGCAGACATCTGGAAATCGATGATCCAGCGTAAATAAGCGCAGCATCTCGCAAGACGTCTCGTTTATGAGCACCTGAAAATGAACCCATTTCCTGCCAGTTCTTGAACACGCAGACGGGCACACACTTTTGCCGACGGCGTCGCACAACTTGCAGAACCCTTCAAACGTCGGACGTCGGACGGTGCTTGCTGCGCAGCCGAACTCAGCGGTCTGCTCCGGTGCGGCGTCCGGCAGTGGAGGCCAAGGTTTTGAGAAGCAATGACCACCTGAGCGGTGTCAAAAACCATCCGGAACTTTTAAGATTATAAATACCTTTCGCATCCTTTCGCCAATCCCTTCGCAACGCTTTTTTCGCGGCTGCATGTTTTGCTTTCGCCGACCCACTTCACCCAACAACCTCTTTCGCTAACCCTTTCGCCGAGTTTCTGCTACTTACATCCAAAAAATATCAGCAAAGGGATGCAAAGGGGAATCATTCCTAATCTGCAACCACTGCTTTCGCCACATCTTCGCGAACCTTTCCCCTGGTTATCAGGAATCTTTGGATGACATGCTTTGTACTGAAAACCTCTCTCGCCAACCCTTTCGCAACAAAATCCTTTCATCAAAAATTCAGAGCCCTTCTCCAAACCTTTCGCCAAGCTTTCCCCAACTGCAGTTTTCCTTTCGCACAGATTCATAATCTGAAGTCCTACCTAAATTCTTTCATGGAGGTTTATGACGTTGCCCACCTGGGAAACATGTGATCTGGAACGCGGCATCGGTCGATGTGTGATCTGGCACTCCACCAGGATCGGTCAGAACTTGTTCAAAAAGCCATCCCGTTTACTATGCCCATCCCAATGCTAGAACTTGCAGTTGTTGAACAAATAGGACTGTGACTGCTGTGACTTTTCACAAAGAGCTAAGGCTAAGACTACAAATAAGCATCTCTGGTGTGCAAATTCATTCCAGAAAATCATTTGAAAGTCACTGGATCGACGGTTAGAGCGGCGAGAAAAATACTGTGTGTTCCATGGGATGTGGTATCTCTGGTGTTATTGACTGACTGAGCTGGGGACTTTCATGGGATTAGTCTCAGAATTTGAGAACTTGGAACATCTTGGAACTATAGGCACAATTGAAGCAAGCCACATTCCCGACAGTGCAAGTTCTCACACTGGGCACGGACTTGTTCTGCCATCTTGGGGGTCATGTGAGACTTTTTGGTTCCTCCATAGTCCTGCGGCACGTGGTCCTGGCAGGATGTGCAGCCCACTATGTGCAACAGGAAGGGCCTAAGGAAAAACCTCGGTGTCTTGGTCACGGCTATTTGAAATATGGTCAGACCTCAGAAAGACTGAGATATCTGAAACCTTTCATTTTTTGTGCCGCTGCATCTACTAAGGGCCATCAAAACCCTTCAAACCCGGCTGTGCCTTCCTCGACTCGACCTAAGGACACTCCAACCGAGTGCAGTCCGTCTCAAAAAGAAAGGACGCCAACTGCAGCAGCACGGTCTGGATGGTGTAGGCAGTGCTCCAGCCACTCCGGTCATGATGTATACCAATATAGCTCTGCAAAATGTCCAAGCAAATCATGCTCCTGACAGTAGTTGTGCGTATTCACTGGTGCCACTGTGTACCAAAAACACGCATTAATTCGCGGAGTCCGCCGATTCTTGTCGTCGCAGCTCCCGAAGAGATTGGGATGCCGGAAGGCCGAAATTTGATGCGGAAATCGCACATTTGGTGGACTGAAGGGATAGTCGCGCGGTAGATCCATCACCTGAGAGGAGATGGTGCCTGGTGTGCCTTCGTTGGGTGGCAAAGCCGGGTTTTCCACATCATAACAGGTATGGCTCAGGTGATGATTTCATTCCTGCTATATAAACTGTTAACATTGCAACACTTGACACTGATTCGAGCAAGCAAGTCATGACTGCCACAGAATGTCTATGGTGTTCTCAAAGCACTATGATTTGGGACTACCTAAACATACACAAACCGCCAGCCTAAACCACTGAATATACAGTACCTCTTCATGTGTCATTTTGACCTCAAATGCGTCTTGTCCAATGAGGTTTCAGTTGAAAAGCAAGCACCTCCAACGGTTCTCATGTCTGGTTGATGGTTTCAATCCACTTTAAAAGTATTGGATAGTATTGGTATGTATTGGTCAGTGGGCTCAATCATCTCAGGTAAAGATTGGACGCCAAAATGTCTGAACCCATCACCTCAAATGCCCTTTGTTACTAGTAGCTTCTTGCTCCTAGAAGTAAGGCCAGGAGCCCTTAGTAGCGTCCTTGCTCCTAGTGGCGATGCCCTTTGCTCCTAGTAGCATCTTGTTCCTAGTAGTAATGCCAGGTTCCCAGTGGCCAAATGAAAAATGCAGCCCTGCAGTGGGCCAACCCGGGGCCGCAGGTTCACATGCCAGTGGAAAGGCCTCAGCGCCACAACGGCTAGGATGGTCGGTGGCTACCCTGGGAGCTGAGGCAATGGAAGCTTGGGAGCTCACCGCTACTTTGCTACGCTGCCTACTGCGGCCGCCCTCCTGCCAGGGACCTGGTCACGTCGCTTGCAATACCCGTGGCCCATAGCGATTGCGACGCCCAAGTCGGGACCCGATCAATGAGACCGATCAAGTCTGAGATGCGTGAGGATTCGGATTTCCCCCCCAAAAAAAACACACCAAAAAGGAACGAACATAAGGACCGTCTTTCTGCATCCGTCTGCATGTCAAGAGGGAAGCCCTCGTCCAACTACTTTGAAGAGTCGCCATCCTAAAGTCTCTTCTCAATTTGCAAAATCGTAGTGCACATCCACGAAGTGATGCTGATGTGAGATTCATGAAACATCCACCATCATCCACCCCTTTTTCCGACCCTTTCGGCCATTTGCTTCAAGGCCATTTGCTTCAAGCCTCGCCAGGTCACGTTCACAATCTGACACCTGGATGTTTTGTTTTTTGGGGGTCATTGAGCAACAAAACACAACACATCACGCTCCTTCTTGAAATATGAGCAGTTTGTCCTTGTCCATCCTTGTCCTAGCGCTTCAAGATGCAAAGACCCCCTTTGTCGACACTAATCACGAATCATCACGAATCCAGTTGTCAACTGCCAACATGTCCTCACAATCAGCTGGCCATCAATGGGCTGGCCATCGTCAGTGAAACGACAGGACTTGCCGTTTGGCAAGCCTGCAAACACACACCGTGATTGGTTCCTCAGCTTTCGCAGGTTTCCTGACCCCTCAAAGGTCACGTGCAAATTTTCTCGCAGATTCAGTTGTTCAAGGTTATTCCATGGTTTTGCTGCTGCCAGTGTTCAAGACATATTCGACACTTGACGATCTTCCTCCACCTTCAACAAGCGTTTATACAAGGTAGGGTTGACATTTTTGCTTGTGCAAAGGCTGTCTGATGCCTACTGTGTGTGAAAAACATCCACAGTTACGAAGCAAAGAAACATCAAAGAAACTACAGTATGGGGTCGAGACTCCTGTGTCGGAATCACCACGCGGGAGAAGCTGCAAGAATCACCAGCAGTTCACCAAAGAATGACCCTATGGTGTTCAATATGGTCCCATAGGTCAACACTATTAAACCATAGGAGCACCATTAAATATGGTCCCATAGGTCAAAATGGGACCTATGGTCATGGTTTTTGATGGTTCCCCATGCAGCTGCATCCTTAATGGTCATGAGCTGCGTCCCCTTGTCCCGTTCTTTCTCGTCGATTTCTCGTTGCTGGTTCCCCATGAGAGGGTCTTAACCTGCCATGCTGTGAGGACTCGCCATCCTGCCGTGGATGGAAGAAGGGGAACTTGGAGATGCGTTTCATTCAAAACACATCAAACACCAACCTGACAATTGGTTGAGCTCTCCCACTTTATGGGTTGGTTCAAGCATTCAGCATGTCTCTTTCCCCACCCCTTCTCAAACCAAAGTGATCACAAGACTGATCACAAGCTGTGAAAAGGAGGCTTAAAATTGCACGGGCTTAGGTGCCGGCGGCTCGTCTTCAATGAACTCCTGGGAGTGGGATTTGACCGGTCGAGGTCTTTGGGGTTCTTCTGTTGGGTTTTGGCCCAGCCTCCTAAGGCAAGGCGGGGAGAGACTGAAGCGAACAAAAACCAAAAACCATGCATCTTCACCATGCAAACACCCAAACTTCAAGGGGGGTCCCAACTTCTCCATCTCTGTGGAACGATTTGAGCGGATGGACTTGAAAGGGCCGTTCCAACGAATGTGCTCGTTCACTGTCTCAAAAACGTCACATCGCAGGTGAATTGGCTCGGTTGTTCGGACGTGGCCCATCGAATCGTGGGTCCTCCTCCGAATCGGACTTGCCATCCTCCGCCACATCCTCATCTTCTGGATCTTCCTCCGCGGGCGGCACGGGCGCCACGCCCACGGGACAAAGGCTCACGCAGGTGAAGGCAGCCGCCCAGTCGTCGAAGGACATGAAAAAGCATCCATCATTCCTGAAGAAAAACACACAGGGTTTGGAAGCATTGGCTCATTCAGGCTGGAATCAGGCTGGAATCAGCTGGTTTGAAGATGCTTTTTTGTACACGTTTTTTCACGCACAAACCCTGGAGGTTCTTTTGCTTGTTAGCTTCAAAATGCTTCAAGTCTTGTGGAAGAACCATGGTCGGAATGTTTTGTATATAAGAACTCGTGCAACAAGGCAACAAACTCAACAAACAGTTGTCCTCACCTGAGGCCAAGTTGCTTTTTGGTGTTCGACAGCCGCTCTGCCAGCTGGGGGTTCTCCTCACAAGCGCAAGATCACAGAAATTGAGGCAAACTGCTCAACAAAGTAACTCGCACATGTCTAGCCCGGGCCATGCTTGTTAGGCTTTTGGTGCCAGGAAGGGTAGGTTGGCTATCCAGGTCTTCGAGGAAGACTTAACATGCCTTGTAACAATACTTAACATCTGAATGCCTCGAAAACACACGCACCAAACCATGCGTGGCCCACATGCGTGGCCCACATGCCTATCATCCACTCAACCCGGTTTTCCGTCTGCGGCTGTCGGTGGATCGGATCGGGTCGGAACTGCACGTCCTTCCACTTGCTCTCCTCTCCATCGCATTGATCGGCCCAATCGCCCTTCCACTCCTGGAAGCATTGCTGTCGAACAGGCGTGCGAACGGAATGGTCGACACTGAACAGTCGCGCGCTTGGTGCGAACAAACGGAAAGCAAGTGGGCAGGGCATGGTAGGGCATTTGGAAGAAACCATGAGGAAACATGAGGAAACAAGCCAAGCGATGTTTCACCATTTTGGGGAGAGATGCACTGCTCCGAAGGTAAGAGCTGCTGGCATGTTTCATCGAGGCGTAGTCCGCCATAGAACGTATCGGTAAGCTCAACGACTGTGGACCCAGCCTTCTCTCTCTCTCTCTAAAACCACCCACCAACCAACCAACACCATCCAACACCATCCAACACCAACCAAAACCAACCAGCCCCAACCAACACCAACCAACACCAACCAACCACAACCAACCACAACCAGCCACAACCAACATCAACCAACCACAACCAACCCACCTACCCACCCACCTACCAACCCACCTACCAACCAACCAACCAAGCAAGAAAACCAATCTTCCAACCTTGTAGCCCCAGGGATTTCGCAACTTCACCAGCTTCACCGGCGTGCCATCATCCGTCTGCTCATCCCTCAGTTCACTGTGCGCGTCTTTTTCGATTGAGTGCCAGGAGCCTACTCAAAGAGCCTCAAGAAGCCTGATCGGCTGCAAGCGGACCACGTTGTCTCGATCTGACTAAGAAGTCCTTCGTTTCGGGCACTCCAAACCGGTCGGATGCGACATCCTCCCAAACCGAGGCGCAGGACCTTCAATAAGGAATAGACCTAGGGCGAATCCGTCCGCACATCGGCTGAGTTTCTCGGATGACAGCCCCATCAGGTTGGAGGCCATTGCTAGTAGGAGGTTGGAGGCCATTGTAGTAGGTTGGAGGCCATTACTATTGTTGCTCTAAACAATCTTGTTGAGCTGTATCGGATGATCCTTCTCCACCGAAGTAGTCGCAACCGTCACAGGATGTTTCAGCATACATGGCTTCCTTGCAATTTGTAACAGGGTCCAACTGGAACAGCTTCAATCACTCTCATTGACTGCAGGTTGTGAACTCAGCCAAGTGGTAGTATGCTCACATTTGGTCTTACGCGTCGCCCCTTCCTACTATGAGAGCAACACACACTTTTTCAAGGTTTGTCTTGGACTGCTCGGTGTCCTGAGTCCTGAGTGCTATTCTACATTAATATTATCTAATATATATATACATATACATACTAATATCTGCATAGTTAGTAAGTTAGTATATGCATCATGCCTGCAAAACTCTCGTTGGTGCCAGTCCAGAGTTGGGCAGCTCCTGCAACCAAATGTTCTAACCCCTTTAGCATGCTGCTTCTAGAAGTGTTGTTTTCTCTTGATGGGTAGCACTTAGCAGGCAATGACAGTCAAGTCCAAGATTACACTCGTAGGTGCAGTATAATGGAAACAGTATGCCTTGTACAGCCATATCCCAGTCCCATCTAAATCATCATCTGAAGCACATGCTTGGTGTACAAGCCATTGCCCTTTGCCTCCTCAGCACCGCTCGAATTTCCAGCAATGCTGCAGCCCAGCACGTGCTTGTCTGCGCAGTGGCCTGCGGCTGGTTTGAAGGAGGCTTTCCAAAAGAGCTCTTGCAGTAGCAGGGTCGAAGGTATCTGAGTTTGAGATCCTAGGAGTATATATATATATATCCACACATTCGTTGCCCAAATGCATCCAACATCGCCCGAGTCTGGTGCATCTTGGCGGAGGCGGGGTGCTGCAGTCCCAGATTAGAAGAACCTGTTGGCTAAGGCTCCTTTTAAAGCTATTGTCTCAGAACCGTCTCCTGTGAAAATCGTGGTCGTTACCCCACAGCAACACTTGACTTCTTTCCCACTCCAGGAGCAACAAGGAGCATCTTGGCATCACCAGCTGGCAGGTCGCGCAAATCTAAACAAGACCTGACTTCTCGATACTGAGGCAGTCCTTGAATCAAGTTCATGGTTTTCGATCATGCATCCTCACAGGAGTCAGATGAACCCTTCTTGCCTGCGTTCTTGCCTGCGATTTCTTGTGACTTCTGGGAGTCTCCTCAAGACATCTTCCATTCTCATCCCTTCTTCACACCTCCGTGGTCCACCCGTCCGGGGGGATTCGCCTTGTAGCACTCCAAAGAGCTTCTCCTTGTCGATGGTGGGAGCTTTACTTTTCCACGTCCAACTGGAGGCTCGAGGGTTCCGAGCTCCTGAAGGGGTGCTGGATGTGCCATCTGGACTGTCGAGAGGTGCCATGTTGGGCTACTTGGCACATCGGAGTCTATGCTGATAGGGCTCCAACATGCTCCAACCATATCCTCCGAAGGTGGCTACCTGGCACCCACCATAACCATCTTCTCAGAAGGTAGTTGGAGCCTAGGGTATGGCACTAGCGACCCGGGTGGTTGACCACTGAGGGAAAATACTTGCGCAAACTCATCCAGCGCCACCTGACGGACCTTCCCTTTCAGGGGTGCCGGGTAGCGGGGTGGTAGCATGTAAGATCTATGAAGATATGAACATGCACACCCTTTCGCTGAGATCCGACATGTAAAAACATGTAAAAACAGGAGACAGAAAGCGACAGAACAAAACCGAAAAGCACCACACCACCACCACCACCACCAGCAGAACGATAATGAACAGAATGAGTTACCAAAAATGGTCAAACTACCAGGATTCGGTTCTCGGTTTTGACCCACTGCCATATGCTGTTGATGTGCACTCTCTTGTGGCATGGTAGGTGCAAACCAGAATGATCTTATTTTGACTTGTGAAGGGCGACATGCAAAAGGGATTTGTTATTTGGCGACCTTGCATGCATCTGGTCAGCGGACTTCCGTCAGGTTGTTTAGCCATGTGAATTCGCTACAACCATCCTAGTCCTAGTCAAAGAGGCACGGCAATCAAAGAGGTGTTCATCCTGTTCCACTCCACCCAGATTCCAACCAGCTCCTCGCTTCAGCTGATTCTTCCGGTGTGTGTGGCGGCGCCGCCACGTCGTGTCCTTTTGCCGCGTGTACGAGACCACATCCGACTTCCCTGTGAGCACCTGGAGTGCGGTTGGCCTCCAATGGGGAAACATCTTATTGAGTTTCTAGTTATGTTTCCTCTAAATTGTGTTGGCGAGGCTCGGGCTTCTTGGACTCGCTCCACATGCTCTTTTTGCGGAAGAATCTTGGTATTTCATTCTTAATTGCGGAAGGGGTGTAAGATTAAGCTTTAGATCTGGATCAGTGAACTCTCTCCCTGGCAGGGCCTGTGCACTGCTTCGCCATTCAAACACATCTTCACTCCGACCACATCAGCCCAAACAACACTCCGATCTGTGGACGTACGGACGCCAACCCTCAGGACCCCATCTCAATGAGTCATCATCCCGAGGCCCGGCCTGAAAAGCCCAAGCCACTCCTCCACCTGAAAGTGTGCCATAAGTTCCGCAGAACTTGGCGAAGGCTTTCCTGAGGAGCTATCAGAGCTATCAGCACATCGGGCCTGGCCCCACTTGGAAGTGCCCGGTTTGTCTGCATCTACCAGGCAGGAGAAACCAATTGTAGGATCAAAGGCCATGCATATAGGCATCATTAGGCATCATTGGCCAAAAGGTCTCAGAAGCCCAACTTAACCGCCAGTGGTTTCTTCAACTGTTGTCACGGCAACCTTGTCTTGTGGTGCCACCTTCTCTGACCTGTTTCTTAGCTGTCCGTCCACACCTTCCTCACTCCAAGGAGCTCCAGCAAGGGGACCCAAATCTCTTCACCAAGAGGTTTCGCAAACGCTGGCATCGGCTGTCCACAACTGATGTTGCATGGCAGGAACTCGTCAATGGTCACTGCCACCCACCTCGGGGAAACCGAATGAACCTCCCGAGGTTTGGGAGACGATTGGCTTTAGAACGTGTTGCTAGTAGCGTCCTTGCTGCTAGTAGCGTCCTGGCCTCCAACCTACTAGCGATGGCCTCCAACCTAGTAGCTTCTTGCAAGGACATGTGTGACAATGGGAGCAAGGAGTAGAAGGACACATGGCCATACTGACTCTGGCTCTTAGAAGAGCTCAGCAAATTCGGCGAATGGTTCACTCGCCGAGGGCCTCGGGTGGATGGTCAACTAGCAAGCCTGTGTAACAAGTGAGGGCTCAAGCATCCTGCAAGCTCTAGAAATTTCCTTGTGTGTGCACCTTGGAGTCATAGGTTGTCTTCGGAATTTGGTAGAGGGCGCAGTCTGCACCCAACGAAGCTATTGCTTGTCCTGCAAGCAAAGCCTCAGCAGCTGTGTACCTACTTTGTTCTGACTTCAATCTCCTCCTTTGGTAGCGTGGTAGCCAGAACAAAAGGACAGTCATTGCATCCGTTTGCTTTCAGCAGTCTCGCATCGCTTTCCGCCTGAGACGTGGTATTTTTATGTAATTTTGGTATGTTTTGCTTATTTCAGAAGGTTCGAACACCTGCATTTCCTCCTCAGCCCCTTTTTTTCACCTAGGGTTCGTCGAAGGGTGCAGCCGCGTTTGGCCGGCAGGTGCCAATTTCCCAAGTGCGTGTGCGCAGCAAAACGGGAAAGTCAGCTGGTAAAAGAGGACTGAATGAACAAGCGTGCTCCTTCGTGGCCTCCCAAAACACGACAAAAAAAGCGCCGGAGACGCCACATCGGCACCACCGGTAGGAACGTACCATGCTCCATTCCACCAGCACCAACGAAAAACGCCAAGACTTTAAAACTGGTGCGCATTCCCTGATTCATCGCAGGTCACATCTCAAGACAGCCTTCTCCGGTTGACACATGCCATGCACGACAAGAAAACCGCCTGGACCGTGGCATCATTTGCGACCACTTCACTGACACCACGGATTAAAAAGCATGAAAATGCACCGCTTCACCTGGAAGTGGACCACTTCAGCACTTCATGCAGTCTGCACAGAAAAAAACATCCAAATCTGGAGAGTTGTCGGTGAGCTCCGAAACGGACCAACCGTGACTCCTCAGATGGGAAGCTTGTACTTTGCAGTCTTTTTCCATGGAAAAACATGTTACCGTCCAACTGGACCGACCAACATCGTTTTGCATTCAACGCGTGAGCAAAGTGACCTGGCGCAATGCGGATGGCTACGGCTTACTTGGCAAAGGGCACTGATGCGCCAGGTGCCGTCACACTGCGTGAGAACACCCAAAACAAGTTGGGATATTCAAGTTCTTGTCGATATATTTGGAATCTTGTCCGGAGTTTACCCTACCTGCCTTATAAAATATATATATATATATATACATGTATGCAACAATGTGAAGCAATGACATGTGCCCTGTGTGGGGTACTCATCTGTGGCAACAGCAACTTCACTTTCCTTGACGGTGTTCCGCAGAGTTTGGGAGCAGTTGCCGCATGGGCTTTTGTGAAGGAAGACATGGGCCTAAGGCAACAGCACTGCTTTTTGAGACCAGGCACTCCTCTTTCTCAAGATCCCACAAATACACGTCATACTTGCCATCCTCGCGGGTAAAGCATCATGAGATATCATGAGAATGACGTCACACCAACTGCTAGGATCCGTGAAGAACAGTTTTGGCCAAACAACCTTCTTTCATGTACAAGGTGCCGCAAGAAGCCGCGTGGATCCACTTTTAGCATGCTGCTGGCAACATCTCCCGTGAGGCTTCTACCTTGCCTGGATCCTATTGGCTGCCCTTGGAGCAAGACCTTGGCCCCCCCTCCTTGGTGATGTGCTTCGTGGAGAAAAGACTCTTCAGCTTCTGTGGGTGGTCAGCCAAACAGCTCAAGGCGCTCATGAGCCAGCAATCTCCCAGGCTTCCTTGCTTCACATCCTGAGATGGCCACCCCCTCACAAGCATCACAAACATCCGAGCACCGAAGAAAAAGCCGTTTGTTTGGTGACCGGGGCGTGCGGGCCCCGCGGGTGCGAGCTGCAATCGAGCGTCTTGTGGTCGAACCTCCTCAAAGAGACAACACTCTGCAGGGTCTCCCAGCATCCGCGCTCGAACCCAAGTATCTGCAGTCCCACATTTGAAGCTGGTGGATGATTCGCCTCAGCAAAGGACACCAAGAATCTAGATTACCATCGTCTGCAGACGTGCTGCTAGCTAGTGCTTGTCTGTGCAGATTCCAAATTAAAGGAGACAAACAAGACGCCGCCAATGGCAGTACAATGACCGGAAATGGACTGCACTGACTGCCCATGGCATCAAACGTTAAAAAACAGAAGAAAAACACACATTCCACGACCAGAACGAGTGAAGAATCAAACACATGCATGATTATTTCCAAGGTGATTAACAAGAGGACCGCACATGAGGTACGATGGTCCAACTTTTTTCTGCTATTACGGACCTACATATGTTTGTTTATGATTCTTTATGCACTTTCAACCTTAAAGTTAGAGTGGCAATCAACGTCAACCTGGCTGGACCAAACGAGTTGGGGCACAAGAGGCACGAGTGAAACGAGAGAAGGATCAGTCTGTTCAATCTGTTCGCAGCAAGCGAGCTTCACGACTGCCTGAAAAGGAATCAGTGATTGATTGAAGGAATGGTATTCATATGTATTCATGAGCACCTTCCATCACTAATCCAATCATGGAAGTGGAACAAAGCATGTACTGTATTTGTATGAGGGGCAGCGCGAAAGCAGCACCGAGCTTGACATGCTTATTTATCTTATTTGTTCCACCCGCCGAGCTGCCAATACTGGCCGTTTCATGCGGGAACTCAGCGTCGACAAAGGCATCGGTCAAATCGTCCTCGATGCCGGTGAAATGGGAACGTGAGGACGAGCGGTAGTTGTAGCGCCAGGGCTTCCTGGCCGAGAAGATCTCGGCAGAGCTGGGAAAATCGGTGCGATCTGTCTGTGCGTGGCATGATCTCCAACTCTTGGGTCCAATGCAGGATTTCTTGGAATATTGGTTTGCATGAACCTCACCATAGTGTCTTTTCATTTTCCCAAGTGAGACCTAAGTCAAGCTGCTATTGAAGCAGAAGGGAGCGCAATTCTGCGACATCCAATCTGCTTTGAACAATTAAAAGTACATTCACTACAGTACTGATCTCCATAGGCCCCTTTCTCAGAAACCTCCCGCCCTCTTTGCACGAAGGCAAAATCATGGCTCGTCGTGAGCCTTTGGGCCAATTTCATGACGACCTTCGTCACTTGCTCCCCTGCCAGAGTGGGACAAAACACAGAAAAAGCACGCAATTGCTTAGTAACATTGGCTTCATTGAAACAAGGTTCTTTCTTTTTTCTCATTGAAGTCAGCCAAAGAACCCAACTGAACCACCCAAACACCAACCCCACGGCTGCCTGGCTTCAAAATGACTTCCCAGGGGTTGCCCTCTAGGAAGTCCATGTTCTGACCTTCGGCACGATTCTGTGTGACATTTGCTGGCAGGGAGCACTTTGAAAGACATTTCTGTAGTATATAATGGTGCGATACACAAATTGAACTACTGCGACCGGTCTTCTAAAACCTTTGCAAGTATCGTTCTTCAAACTACACACTTGAAACAAATTGAAGCAAATACACAAACATAAACGATATGTCCAGCAGCATGGACACACCTGTCACTGATCGACAAAACCATCTTGCGGAAATAAACTCTTTCGACTTCAGAACTGCGGAGCTACAGGGCCCTCTAGCTCACCATGTCACCATGTTTCACCATGTTTCACCTTCGGACCAGGGCTTTTCCTCACCAAGTCTGCCGCGGGCGGGTCTACGCAGCGTCAATCGCGGAACGCGGCGTCATTCGCGTCGTCGTTTCCCCGGTGCCGCTGGTGCCGCTGGTTTCAGCCGCAGCGGCACTTGGTGAAATTCACCGTCAACTTCTTCCCCTTCCGGTCGCTGGGGTTCGTCACCACGGCCCTGGATTCGCCATGGCATGGATGAGCGTCTGCTGGGGTCGCAACCGATCCGGTCACAGACTCCGGTTCAGAAGACCGGTCGCAGTTCGAACTTGGTTCTTGGTTCGAACACATGTTTTCTTTTTTTCTTTTTCTGGGGATTCTGGGGATTCTGCTCATTTTTTCGGGGTCTCTTTTTGTGCTCCTTCCCATGGTTTGCATGCTCTGATACCGTCATTCTGAGGTCTTGGAAGAGTGATGTCATCGTGAAGAGTCGGGTCCCTCATCCTTTTGGCAGACTCTACGTCGCTTTTTCAGGAGGTTTGGCATCTCCAATTCAGGTCTTCATTCAACACAATGAAGGTAATGGGAGGGACTCACCCAAACTGATGCAGGTTTCTAGTTCGAAACCTACATCATGAATCCAGTGTGTTGCAGGTGCGACATGGTACGAGAAAATCTCACGCTGTCCAAGCAGCTTGAAAATGTATTGCCACTCTCCTTCCTTAATTGTGAAACCGCGGGCATTGCTCTTAGTTTTATCCTGTGCGACATGGAAGAAGGAGGAACAACATAGCCATGGTTGGTAGTGTACCTCAAGCACGGCCCACAATTGATCCATTTAGTTGAACACTCAGCCCCCATCATGTGGCTATATGTGGCTTAATTCAGTCAGCCGACCCCACCACTGGTGTAAAAAACACTCTTCGCCTATCAAATCCGCCGACCCCTGCCTAGCTGACGCCTAGGCGGGGAGGCGCCCGGGACACCGGAGGGAGAAACACTGCAATGCTTAGACCCGAGCCTCTGGAACCTGTCACCCCGGCCTGCACACCCTTCCCGGCACCTTTGGCTTAGGCCCCCAGCGCACGTTTGGCCGACTCCTGCCCCGC